GATAGATAACCCCCAATTTCTTTCATATTTAAATAGATTATGAGTTGGAGGTATGATTTCATGTCTCATTTGACCCTCAATTAACTCATGACGTCATCATAATGGCCTCCGAACTCAAAATTTCAATTTGCATATTATGACGTCAGCAGATTTTTGGAAAATTGATTGTATCTCTGTAAATATTAATCAATTTTGTTTCAAATTTTGATATGTTCTACCTGAGAATATTCTCTACAAATACAGTCACCACGAATTTTCATTTTGATGAAAATATCATGGCGTATTTTTGCGATTAAAGGAGGCATGTCAATTTTTTACATTTTGCGTGTATTCTCTATGGGACATGACTTTTTCTCAAAACTGGATTCTACATTCTCGTCTTTTGCGAGCAATATCTCCGTCGTTGTATCTTTGTTTACGCTGAGCTTTGAGTATGTTGTAGCTGAGACAATAAGCTATCACAAATGTGCCCTTTATTTTTAGATCAGATGCCGGGATCATGCTCATATTTCACTTACAAAGTGGGATTTGAGAATTCAGTTTTCAGTTTACGTGTAATCTCTATTGGAAATGTTTTGGTATATCGGTAACGCACTTGACTTCCGACCTCGAGGTCCCTGGTTCGAGTCCGGGCGTTTCCAACAATTTTTTTTCTTCACTTTTTTTCCTTTTTGACCTTTCACTGTACCATCTCCTTTGAATATTAAAACACGTACAATCGCAAATAATGTAATAAACAACCATATTTACTTTAATATTACCCTATTATCACTTGATCCATTACTTTTGGCGTGTAATCCTTATGGGAGATGACTTTTTCTCAAATCTGGATTCTACATTCTTGTCTTTTGCGAGCAATATCGCCGTTATTTCGGCTTGATTTTTGTTGATTTTGGAGTATGTTGTAGCTGAGACTATATACTATCTAAATGTTCTCTCATTTTTTACAGTCTGATGTCATCATGGTCTGTTGATGATAATCATCAACATCATCATGATCATCATCATCATCATCGTCATCACAATTACTATCAAGATCATCATCATCATGATCATCATGACGATCATCATTGTTTACATGTCTATATAACTTCTCCCTTTCTCAAGATAGTAAATATTATAATCTATCATAAGACTTGAAGACAGACCACCTTAATCGTCCTCGTGACGATTTAAATTCTAGTTAGGTGGTCTGTCGATGACAGATCACCTATTGATTTCGTTAGAATTTTCTTTCTTTATTCTTTATTCTTTCTTTATTTATTTTTATTTCTTCCGTACACTTTTTTTGTGTATACGTTTACTCGAAATCGACTTGGTCAAATTCCTTCAAATTTCTGATAGTCATTAGGCCCTATAATATCAAGTTCCCGAAACCTTTTTCAAGTTCATGGGGTCATCGTGACGTCATCCAGGCGCCATTTTGTAAAAATCAAGTCATTATCATATCTCGATAACGAGTCTTCAAAAATAAACCATATTTGGTATACATCAACTTCAGGTCAAAGTTCAACTAAAAATGTCAACAAAATTTGCGCGCGCACCTCGACGCGCACGTACGCGCGCATTAAAATTTTAAAATGCTCATATTCGTTCCAAATTTTTTTTGCACACGTTTCAGGCAATTGTAAGCATTTTCAAGATTTTGCGCGAGAGCACTTTTTTGCGCGCGTTTCCGCGCGTAAGTGCGCGTACTGACATTTTACAACATGGAAACGCCAAATTTTCTCTATCATATCAACCACATTTTTCCAAGCATTTTGATACCTTGTTCACCTTTTTCTGACCAGTGATAACGCAATGAGCGTCCGTCAAAGTTTACAGCACACGCGGATCTGCATTATCCCTATCCACATTACATGTGCAAAAACAAGCCTATACAAAATTCATTTTAACTCTTCAGAATGGATAGATACCCCCAATTTTTTTCATATTTAGATAGATCATGAGTCGGAGATATGATTTCATGTCTCATTTGACCCTCAATTAACTCATGACGTCATCATAATGGCCTCCGAACTTAAAATTTCAATTTGCATATTATGACGTTAGCAGATTTTTGGAAAATTGATTGTATCTCTGTAAATGTTGATCAATTTTCTTTCAAATTTTGATATGTTTTAGCTGAGAATATTTTCTACGAATGTATTTCACACGATATTTCATTTGAACAATGGCATCATGGCGTATTTTTGCGATTAAAGGAGGCATGTCAATTTTTTACATTTTGCGTGTATTCTCTATGGGACATGACTTTTTCTCAAAACTGGTTTCTACATTCTTGTCTTTCGCGAGCAATATCTCCGTCGTTTTATCTTCGTTTACGCTGAGCTTTGAGTATGTTGTAGCTGAGTCAATATGCTATCGTAAGTGTGCCCTTTAATTTTCGATCAGATGCCGGGATCATGCTCATATTTCACTTACAAAGTGGGATTTGATAATTCCATTTTCCGTTTACGTGTAATCTCTATGGGAAATATTTTGGTACATCGGTAACGCACTTGACTTCCGACCTCGAAGTCCCTGGTTCGAGTCCGGGCGTCTCCAACAATTTTTTTCTTCACTTTTTTTTTCTTTTTGACCTTTCACTGTACCTTTTCCTTTGCTTATTAAAACACGTAGAATCACAAATAATGTTATAAACAACCATGTTTACTTTATTATTCCCCTATTATCACTTGATCCATTACTTTTTGAGTGTAGTCCCTATGGGAGATGACTTTTTCTCAAATCTGGATTCTACATTCCTGTCTTTTGCGAGCAATATCGCCGTTATTTCCGTTTGGTTTTTGTTGATTTTGGAGTATGTTGTAGCTGAGACTATATGCTATCTAAATGTTCCCTCATTTTTTTCAATCAGATGTCATCATGGTCTGTTGATGATCATCATCAACATCATCATGATGATCATCATCATCATCAACATCGTCATCACCATTACTATCAGGATCATCATCATCATGATCATCATGATGATCATCATTGTTTACATGTCTATATAACTTCTCCCTTTCTCAATATAGTAAGTATTATAATCTATCATAAGACTTGAAGACAGACCACCTTAATCGTCCTCGTGACGATTTAAATTCTAGTTTATTTTTATTTCTTCCGTACACTTTTTTTGTGTATACGTTTACTCGAAATCGACTTGGTCAATTTCCTTTAAATTTCTGATGGTCATTAGGCCCTATAATATCAAGTTCCCGAAACCTTTTTCAAGTTCATGGGGTCATCGTGACGTCATCCAGGCGCCATTTTGTAAAAATCAGGTCATTATCATATCTCGATAACGAGTCATCAAAAATAAACCATATTTGGTATACATCAACTTCAGGTCAAAGTTCAACTAAAAATGTCAACAAAATTTGTGCGCGCACCTCGACGCGCACATACGCGCGCATTAAAATTTTAATATACTCAAATTCGTTCCAATTTTTTTTTGCACACGTTTCAGGTCATTTTAAGCATTTCAAAATTTTCCGTCCGTAAGTGTCCCCGCGCGCGTTGCGCGCACTCATAGCGCGCGGAAAAGGTCAAATTCAATTTTTTGTACATGATTTAGATTCCTCTTACCGTAAATGACAATTTACATTAATTTCAGTCACTCTTGACCTTTCATAAGGCCGTGAGCGCGCGTCAAAGTTCAAAATCCGCGCGTGCTGCTATGGGCAATATAATGCAAATTTGATCAAAAACATGCCATTTTAAAAATCAAAATAGCTCTTCAGATAGTCCATTGACACCCAACTTTTATATCATGGTTGGAAAAAGCATGAGTTGGAGATATGAATTCATGTCTCATTTGACCCTCAATTAACTCATGACGTCATCATAATGGCCTCCGAACTCAAAATTTCAATTTTCATATTATGACGTCAGCAGATTTTTAGAAAATTGATTGTATCTCTGTAAATGTTGATCAATTTTCTTTCAAATTTTGATATGTTCTACCTAAGAATATTCTCTACAAATGCAGTTACCACAATATTTCATTTTGACAATGGCATCATGGCGTATTTTTAAGATTAAAGGAGGCATGTCAATTTTTCACATTTTGCGTGTATTCTCTATAGGACATGACTTTTTCTCAAAACTGGATTCTACATAATGTCTTTTGCGAGCAATATCTCCGTCGTTTTAGCTTTGTTTTCGCTGAGCTTCGAGTATGTTGTAGCTGAGACAATTAGCTATCACAAGTGTACCCTTTATTTTTTGATCAGATGCCGGGATCATGCTCATATCTCACTTGCAAAGTGGGATTTGATCATTCAATTTTCCGTTTACGTGTAATCTCTATGGGAAATGTTTTGGTGTATCGGTAACGCACTTGACTTCCGACCTCGAGGTCCCTGGTTCGAGTCCGGGGGTCTCCAACAAATTTTTTTTTTCACTTTTTTTTCTTTTTGACCTTTTACTGTACCATCTCCTTTAAATATTAAAACACGTACAATCGCAAATAATGTAATAGACAACCATATTTACTTTATTATTACCCTATTATCACTTGATCCATTACTTTTTGCATGTAATCCTTATTGGAGATGACTTTTTCTCAAATCTGGATTCTACATTCTTGTCTTTTGCGAGCAATATCGCCATTATTTCGGCTTGATTTTTGTTGATTTTTGAGTATGTTGTAGCTGAGACTTTACGCTATCTCAACGTCCCCTCATTTTTTAATCAGATCTCATCATGGTCTGTTGATGATCATCAACATCACCATGATCATCATCATCGTCATCACCATTACTATCAAGATCATCATCATGATCATCATTCTTTACATGTCTATATAACTTCTCCCTTTTTCAATATAGTAAATATTGAATTAAAGATGAGCATGAACATACATGTAGGAATTAAAGACAGACCACCTAATTCGTCCCCATGACGAATTAAATTTCTAGTTTCGAAATTGTACTGTACCCTAGACGAAGTCAAGGAGCTGACCCGACAAATAAGCAGTGAGTTTTTGTCCCATAATGTGGATTATCAAAATGGGTCATCTAAAATCTACCCCCTCGCCCCCTCTCTCTCTCTCTCTCTCTCTCTGTCTCTGTCTCTGTCTCTGTTTCTCTCTCTCTCTCTCTCTCTCTGTCCCTCTATATCTCTATCTCTCTCTATCTCTCTCTCTCTTTCTCCCCCCCCCCCCCCTTTGAATCCCTAGGCAATCAATAGTTTGTTGAAGATCGCCAGATAATGTTACAATATTGAAGGTATGGAGAAGTCAAACCATTGTAAATTATGCATATATTCTGGAAAGTGCTTTTGATAATGTGAATTTGCTAATTCTTTGATTGTTCTTCTAGCCACGAAGAGAACATGCGGCGATCCAGGCATGCCCGTCAACGGGTCCCGGATCGGCGACGAGTTCGTGATCGGGAGCCAGGTCGAGTACAACTGTTCGTCTGGTCTGGTGGCCGACGGCCCCACCGTTTCACAATGCTGGTGGGTTGATAACATCACGCTGAACATCGCTTGGACTGTGCCGCCGCCAGCGTGTGTGGGTGAGGAAGACTGCATTTTTAGTTATCACTGACGTATTGGTGGGGGAGGGGGGTGGGAAGTAGATAGTAGGCTCATAATTTTGATCAACATAATCTATATAGTACTCTAAAATGCAAACTATTTCCAGTGTTGATTTTTCTTTCATTAGACCCATCTCTGCTGGCGACAACCGACCCAATGAGAACCGACATAACAACGGAGCCAGATACCGCAACTACACATCGTATGACTACCCCGCCCTTTCAGCCACCATCCAGTATCATGGGTAAGAAGAATTAGACCAACCTGAATACCTGATACCTCCCTGACAGAACAAAGCTTCAATCAAAGATTCAAACGAGTTTTTCCCATGTTAAAATGTAGGAGAAAAGCCTAATCTTTGATATTTATACTGTAGACATTTATTCCGTGTGTTAGTAAACCTAAATACTACTTCTTTACTATTTTGCTTTTTGTTTTGTAAAGAAGATATTTGTGTATCTTCTCTAAATTCCACTAAATGATAATTACCCCCCCCCCCCCCCCCCCTCCCTCTCTCTCTCCTCATCCCCCTCTCTCTCTCTCTCTCTCCCTCGTGTTCCCTTACTTTCGTTTCCAATTTATTCCTAACCTGGTGAAATATTATGTCTTTCAGTAGTCTTTGTATGTAAATATTAGGCAGTCCTATAGACTGAGTCATTGCGATGACGATGTTTTATCCTTTATGAAAACCGTCTCATGTTTCTTTCATGGCCTATTTTCAAATCTTAATTCTTGATCATAATTCTACTTACCAGGAGTCATCATAGGGAGCTTGGCAGGTGTGATCATCCTCATCATCGTCGTCGTTATCGTAATAGTGTTGTAAGTTTACCTTCTTTTGACAGATTGTTTTTTTGTATTTCACCTTTAATTGATCCTTTTTGTTTCAAATTAAAGATCACATAGTGACAAGTTGGAATTATGATGGCGCATATTGTGATGTATTTGAACTATCATTAGAAAATGAACACCGAAAATCTCCCTTTTCTCTCCCCTCCCTCTGTACTCTCTCTCTCTCGTTTATCTTTCTCTCTCTCCCTCACTGGAATCTTTCCTCTCCATATTTTGTTTGTCTTTCTCCATCTCCCCCTCTCTGTCCCCCTCTCCCCTCCCTCTCTCTCCCTCTCTCTCTCTTGCTTTTGCTCTCTCTGTCTCTGTCCTTTTCTCTACCCTTCCTATTTTCTTTCGATTTTTCTTTCAAAAAATATTATATCTTTCTATCTCATTTTTCTTTATCTCCATTGTTCTCTCTCCCTCTCTCTGCCTCTCTCTCTCTCTCTCTCTCTCTCTCTTTTTCTCTCTCTCTCTCTATCTATTTCTCTCTTTCAATACAGCATGTGCAAGAAACGACAGAGACGCAAAGCCGACTTTACACGCGGATCGGGTCAGTCGAATTTCCCGCTCAGCAACTCGAAAGCCCAACTTACACAAACGACACCAAAGAAGAAAGAAGGAGAGAAATTACATGAAAACGACGTCGATGAGGAGGAGGAGGAGGATTACCTCGTCCCAGATGCAAAGGTCATGTCTTCGGCGAACAAGGGCCAAACGCTCCAGTTTGTTGAACAGCGACCCCGACTGCCTGCACCACCATCGGTAAAAGCGTCTCTTACACCAGAAGAATCGCTTTATCAGAATTCAATCAGCATCGCTTTGAGCCGATCGAAAGAAAACTTAAGAAAGGACGCCAGCATGGCCAAAGAAAAAAAAGTGACTAACGAGCCCGCCTATCAGAATAGGACAGTCGTTACCCGGCACGACAGGCCTCGAGCAACAGAGGGCGCTGTCGTGAAACCACCTGCAACGAAGGCGTCATCATTGCCTCTTGACACGGACGATATTTACCAGAATGCCCAGGTGGGTACCAGGCTAAGCAGTGCGAGGATGCCTCTGGCGGCAAGATTTAGTGATGACCGACGAGCTAGCCGCGATTCAAGCGGAACAGCCTCCCAGAGAAGTTCCGCCAACTACAGAGACTCTGTGGACTATGTCACACCCAATGAAGCCAAAGAGCAAGAGGTATACGAAAATGCAGGGGTGGTAGTGCAACGCCTGGGGCCTCGACGTCCCCCGGGTAAACCTGACGACACCAACGTTACCGTCGTCACTAGCGATAGCGATGGGGTTTACCTTGATTTGATTTAGCCACAGACGTTTTTTCTAGAATAATGTCGGCGTGCCACGTGCGTTTACGCAATTATGTCAATAGATCAGTATCTTTAATTCTGTTCTTTTTGTTAAATTCAATCCTGTGTACAAAAAGTGGCCTGTGTAGTTTCTTCATAACATGTTTTCTTCTATCGGGAGACGATACGGGTGACTCGTTTACACAATTTGCCGTTATTTAGAGGTTGCCGCTAAGTAAGAGTGGTTAGAAATATCCCAACAAATGTGGCACTTTATTCCTTTCTCGACAATTATTCCACATTTATTTTTTGCGAGGCTTACGGTTACACCACGTACTCTTCCGAAGGACCCGCTTTTGCTCTATCTCGACGTCTTAGGATGAAGACGATAGATACGACCTATCAAAAAGTCGAGATAGTGAATGAGTGTGCCCTTTTCAGGGCCAACTAAACTTGTTCGATGGCGCAGCCGCCAATACCCCCTTCACATACACGGGTTTTTCTTACTAGTCTTACGGATTGCACAAAATCAGGGATCTTTCAAGGATTCTTACGTTTTGGCCATTTTTACGACCGATTTAAGAGTGGTCACGGATTACTACGAGCAACATTCGTGCTAGTAACGACCTGTTTACGTGTTGTTACGAATAGTTACGAGTTAGTTACGAGTCCTTACGATTTTGTACCCTAAAATAACAACTGAAAAAGAAGCGTTCAAATTTGCAGCTCTTATGTCTTATACGTAAGAATACGTAAAGTATACGTACATTCGTAAAGTACTCGTAACTACACGTAAATTGTTCGCAATAAATCGTAACAATCCGTAAAACCATCGTAATAAGACCCGAATGAAATTGTTAACAACACGTAAGCACTCGTACTAATCCACAAATAATAGTTAAATTATCCGTAAATAATACGAAAACAAATCGTAAACTAACATAAACAAATCGTTAACAAAAATGTTACGAGTCATTTACGGATTCTTGCAAGCATTTTACGGATGGTTACGTATTATTACGAGTTATTTACGAAAAAATCAATCCATGGACAATCGTAAGGAAGATTTTTGACATATCAAAAAATGTGCCTCTCCTTCCCGGATCCTTAAGAATGTCTGCGAGTTGTTGCGAGTTGTGACGAGTGGATGCCTGCGATTGACTACGAGTTTGCGATCCGTAAGGACTCGTAAGAAAAACCGTATATGTGAAGGGTTTATTAACCGAATGGCGAATGAGCTCATGCGCAGCAAATATTAAACACAGACATGTGACGCGGATTTGGCACTTTACGTCATCATTAAAACATAAAATGCCACTTTCTTGCCGCGCCATATCTGAACTAGGTAATGCAAAGTTTTGGGAAATTTCGAAAATTGGATTGATAGTATGTCTTTACAACTTGATATATTTGGATGCCCCTGTGGATGACCCATTACGTGTTAGAAAATGTAGCCCCTAAAACACTTCTGCTTTCTCGGTTGATTTCAAATATTTCAAATAGCGACTAAGGCCATCATTCAATGGTAGCTGCGACCATGGAAATTTCAGAATATGCAGTTCTGATACATAATTTCCAAACGGTAATAGCAAATCGGTCAATCCTAGTCAAGAAACACTGTTTTAGAGCTAAAGTAATATCAGTCTGGAGAGGGTGCTACATGTATATAACTTAAAGAGTTTATTAGTCTACAATTTCATTACTTTAGACTTGATTTAATGAAGTTAGTATGAGTTAGAATGCATTCTGTTCAAAGCAAACACTGTATATATATATTTGTAATGTCTAATTAGACAAATTGATTTTGACACGCTGTCTAGCAGTACTTTGAAATCCCATGCCGAAATAATAAAGATATTTTGACTACATAATATCGGTTTTAGTACCATTATTTTGTCTGTAAATGACCCCAACCACACAATGACTTGCATTATTTTATTTTTTTAATACCGTCATGTATTTAGCGTTCACAACATTGTCTAGAGAGTTGCGATTAACCCTAATCAATTTAAAGTCCTCTTAGTAATCGCAAGTTTGCAGTCCCCCATATCTCATGTACATATTTGCGACTGATATTAATCGCAAATAAGTTGCGATCAATCGAAACTGTTTGTAAGACGGGGCCCAGTTGTGCTTCAAACGTATTTCTTTCTTTGATTGCACCAATGTTCGCACTGATAATAAATGTCATTCAGTGGTTTGCTTTATTTGCTCCCCCCCCCCCTCATCAAAAAATAAGAGAGAAGGAAGGATACGGAAAGAAAAATGAAAACAAGAGGAAGGGGGGATATCAGTTGTAATTTTCTCGCCAACAAGTTGTGGATCGGGGGGGGGGGAGGGGGGGGGGGCTCATCAAAACCAAACGAGAGAGAAGGAAGGGAAGGGAAAGGAAAACAAGAGAGAAAGGGAAAGAAAACAAAAGAGAAAGAAGTAAGGAAGGGGAGATCAGATGCGATTTATTCCCCAGCAAGATGTAAATTGAGGGGGATGCACTGGCGTACGGATGAGAGGGGGGGGGGGTGGGGAGGGGGGGGTGGGGGAGGGGGGTGACCCCAATAAAATTCAAACGTGGTTTATTTCTAATTCGATACCGGTGATTTACAAATGTTGCTGAAATGACATCATTTCCGAGATTTTTCCTCACTTTTTTTGTAAATTATACTTTTTTATTCGTTTCTTGGAAAATGACAAATTCCTAAAATTACCGTTAGGCGAGAAATATGCCTTTTTAAAGGCTTGCATGTCAGGGCCCGCGGAACGGCGGGGCACGGGGACCTCGAGCTTTCCCTCACACTTTTTCGAAAAAAGTATATTAAAGAGAAATAGAAAGAAAGATAGAAAGAAAGAGAGAATAGTATCCTGCCAGTGTCAGAAATAATGAGGTATCAAAATATGATCATCTGACCGTGATTGAATGCCGAAAACCTCTGAGCTTCCGAGGACTCTGCCCCCTGGATTCCACCTAGGGCCCTAGGGTGGGCCCCTGAATACTCATCTGACCGTTATATAATGCCTTAAAACCCCCGAGCTTCCGGAGGCTCCGCCCCTGAAAACCCCTGAGCCTCCGGGGCTCCGCACCTTTGACCACACCAGGGGGCCTAAGGCGCCCCCTGAATGCATATCTGATCGTTATCAAATGCCTCAAATCCCTGAGTTTCAGGGGCTCAGCCCTGGAACCACGCCAATTAGTGACCTGCCAGTGTCATGAATAAAGTATCAAAATATGTTCATCTGACCGTAACTAAATGCCCATACCCACTGAGCTTCCGGGGGCTCCGCCCCTTGACCCCCGCTGGTCCTTTGCCCCTAGACCCCAAGCCAATGTATGCTACGCTCTACCTGATCATAAGTAATTTTAATTAGCCCCCCCCCCCCACCCTCTTTGAAAAACGTTCAGCGGGGCCTGCATGTAAGAACGGGGGTGATGCGGATTTTGTGTCTGCCCCCCCCCCCCCAACATTTTTGCTCGTTACGCCAATGCTGGTCACCATTACGTACCAGTATTTGGCTGGCATAATTTCAAATTTGCCCTCCCCCAAAGAAATCCTGGATCCGCGCCTGATATACAGATGCTAATTTTCATAACAAATCAAGCTTTGATTTAGACAAGCCGTTGGTAAATGTCTGTCCAAAGGTGATTGTGTTCGCATAAAGTTAAAAGAGACATCTGCGAAATCACCAATGGTGAGTGTTAGTTCCGCGCAGTTTTCTTACGTCTACCAAAAGTGAGAGGGGGAAAGCGCTCTGGGAACAGCACCGTCCAGGAAATCCTGAATAAGACGTGTTTCCTTGTAGTGTACCAATGTCCGACAAACGACCAATTTAAGGTTGATTGTTTTGTTCGGATCGAACACTGAGGGCAGTATATAACGTATGTGTAGTTTGAAGATTGATTATCATGATATCCCTGACCGGAATATAATATTATTGAAACATATTTTGTATTTCTTTATGCATGGACAATCTGCTCAGCAGCCATTAAGCTTATTATTGTATTTGTTTTCACAGATTCAAACATTCGTCCGATGAAAAAGGAAACACAAAACAAAAATGGAAACAAAACACAGTTAGGAACCATTGGGGAAAAGAGGGGGGAAAATATTTTATACAGAGTTGCTTTCATGAAGTGCTTTTTAGATAAACTTTAAAATAAACTTGACTTCTGGTAATGATAAAAAATAAATTCGCAAAGATTCCAACAAAACCTACACTTAATTTTCAAGATTAAAAATAAGGAAATCCGGGCAAGTAGGCCCAACACCATGTGCTTAACACACTCAGGTCACTATATGGAAATGGGATTTGTGGTTTGTATCGAAAATTATGCCAAGTAAGTTTGTGTGCATTTTTTTTCACTGGTTCAAACAACAACCTACTGCAGGATAAACGGTTCAGAATAAATCATATCAATTTTCTTTCAAAATATGGTTTACATACCAGAGCTCAAGAAAATCTTGAGAATCTCAGAACTTTATTTGCCAAGAATAACCATATTGTTACAATAATGTCCCGAAAAGGGGAAAACAAATATTTCTAATTTATGGGAAACAGTGAATACAATTTAACCGAACTGTCAAAACTCAATTGACTGTGAATGTAAATATCTGGGACTGTAATCCCGACTCCACCCAATTATTTCTTAAAGTCAGGGATATCAAAATGCACAGCCCACCCCCGCGAGTGGCTTAGAAATGAAGGGCGTGCCCCCCCCCCCTCAATCGGAAGGCGATATTTATTTATTTTCCAAGTTAGAAGGAAAATAACGAGGAGAAAGAAAGTTGAGGGGAATATAGGGCAATACAAAACAATGACCCGTTTCACCATTCACTCTCTCGATCGCTTTTTTTCTTCTCGCATTTCACGTATATCTTTTTAAATGTTTTATCTCATGTGAATAAATTCTCCATTTTAAGGCCAAAATATATTACGTTTTTCGATTTTAACAAACTTAAGACGCCAGATAACAAATCAACATTTGATAAACATGTTTTTATTAGAAATGTCTAATCAGTTTACATAATTCGTTTCAGAAATCTTCCACTAAACAAAAACAACAATGAATAACAGTAAATCGTTACTAGAATATCATTACAACAAATAAATACAACACAACCGTTACCGTTGAGCACACTTAGTTTCACCAATAATTGGTTAAAAAATTGGTGTACTGTTTAAATACTGTCATAAAATAGTTATGTTCCGACTTATAATAATTTTCCTTTATTAAAACTCCTTAAAAAATGGAAATTATCTAATTGCGCCGTACATGTACGTCAGCGTATTACATCGGAAACACAAATACAAGAAACTTCTTTGTTCAATAAGATCTAAATCCTTTTTCATTTCATTCGATATTCGTGTCCTGCGACAAAATATAAACAGGCCCTCTCTTGACGAAAAATATCAAGGGCAGATCATAAAGAGAACGCAGTAGTTCTGGACCCTTTTTGTTGACTTTTGTATTCGCCGACTATACGCGTTAAGCCGAGTGATGGCGCGATCCCCGAGAACCGGTCCCGAAAAGGGTCCAGTGCAATTGCTCAACGCTGAAGTCTTCAATTAGTCAATCCATATTTTCTATTTAGTAATAACATCATTAAACTATTAACTCACATTACGAAAGGCTCAGCATCAAGTATTTACCAGTGATTATTTTCCTAATTTGTAACTTTAATTGTTATCAATTTATTGTCCAACATCTGGGCCCCGTTGCATAAAACTTACCGTTGATGGTAACTTTGCCATCAATGGTAACTACCATGGAAACCTTGATTTTGATTGGCTGTTGAGCCCTGTTACCATGGTAGTTACCATTGATGGCAAAGTTACCATCAATGGTAAGCTTTATGCAACAGGGCCAAGTCTTTTAAGGTAAATTTGATTGATAGACGGGTGATCATTTTATGCCGTTGCTTAGCATCCTTTTCTAGTCAGAAAAAGTCGGGTACTCTTCACTCTTAACTCACAAACACACAAACAATCTCTATTTGCTACAGTGTATATATCATTGGATATTTATAACAATGGCTTAAATATTATTGAACTGTCTTAAGTACAAATGGAGTTATCATTAAGCCAAATAAGACTGGAAGTGGGTAGTTTTTGCAAAACCCTTGTATTGCCAAAAGTAATATTCTTCAGTCAATAATTGGTGCCTATATTGTAACATTGCTGCTGTGGCAAACGGGTGACCGTGTAGAGGGATAGAGAAAGCAATCGAAGGGTTAATAAAATTTGTTGAGGAAATTGCCAGTGCTATAGCGATCAGAAAGCATCTGCATGACTGGAAAGCTCTCCTCCGGATCATAATCATCAACACTGTCTTGGTGAAGTCCAGCTAATTCTCGGGCTATCGTATGGAAGGAACTTTGGTTCGATGTCATGCTGATGTCGGGAACCACTACACCAGGGCTCGTTGCATGCGGCGAGGCATCGCCCGTATTGTCAGAGCGGGGATTGGTCGAATCCCTGGGAACCAGCCTTCGGTTGTCCGCTCCACCGCCACCGTGCATGCCGCGGCGACTTCTGCGCGAATCAGAATTGACATCGATCCGAGAGTCTGAAGCGGTCAGGTGACTGTTCATAGGGGCATCTAGATGCAGAGAACTGTACCTGTGGTCGATTTCACTCTCTTCATCTTGTTCGCTCTTTTCAAAGTTTTCATACAAGGGTTGTTCAAAGACCGGTTGTTCGTAGAGAGGCTGTGAGCTGAGTATGGCATCGCATGGAAGCGACGAAGGATACTGTTTTACAGACCTTTTGCTCCTGCGTATAACCGTTTGCGCGTATATCGGATCTTCCGGTTCTACGAACTGCTCATATGTCGCATTTTCATCATGTTCAGATACCATAGATGTTCTTGAAAGAGTTGTATCCGTGGCACTTGGAGTACCGTCCCGACAGAACGCGAAAGAGGTTGGTCTCCAGCTTCCACCGGCATCGCAAGTGGCATAATCCCCGCTGATAGTCCTGCACGTAGAATACATAGCGGCGATTGACTCACGCGAAGGTGAAGCTTTGCTTTTCATCATCGACGCGAAGTTCGAAGTCGGTTGCCTCCTTCTAAAGTTTTCATAAACAGTTTCCATACCACCATCATCGGTCATGTTGCTCTCCCCACCGATGCTCATGTCGTTGTTGTTATGTGAAGCGAGACTACGCGTATCGTCTTTATCCTGGCAAAAATCAAACGATATTGGGCGAATGTGTCTTGCGTGACGCCTGGCAGCAACATCGACCACTTCGCAGTAAACCTGGCTTTCGCTCTCGCCACCCGTCGTACTGTCTTCATCCGGATGTCCTAACTTAAACCTGACAGAGTTATCATCATAAACACCACTTTCACTCCGCCTCGCCGGACTTTGTTCGTAGGCGAGAATACTACATCGCTCTTCCGATTGTTTCGCTGGTAACGAAGCGGTCTTGTTTTTCGTAGCAGAGGAGTGGTTGGTATGGACCGGAGAGGCATCGGCGCTGTCTCCGCTGAAAGAAGCGTAGAGAGAGCCGTTTGATTTCCTGGCGATATGGTTTTGTCCGACCCGGACTACAGTAGATGCGTAATGTTTGAGTACTTCCTGGACCCGACGCTGAGAATGGGAGGTGTGTAGAGAGTCTTTAGTCATGACTGGTTGGTGAAGGGTTGCATAGGCTTCGGAGTCTGTTGAGTAACGGCGAAACGGTAGAGGGGACTTTCCTAACGCCTTGTATCTGCATGGGAAAAAAATGACACAAACGTACGAAAATTGTTAAAAGTCAGAAAATTGCAAAACAAATGATGTATGTATCTGAAAAATGAAAATGAAAATCGAAAATAAACCACTTTCCGGATAATGTTCCGGATAATGTTCTGAATAATGTTCAGGATAATGTCCAAGATTTGTGTAAATGATAATCTTCATAATCTTGTTCAAAGATTGTTATCATCATGATTGGATAGATCAGAACACGGTTTCCGGCTCCAGCGAAGTAGCATGAATGAAGCCATTAAAGAGATGCTGGTATCATGGGGAGGGGGTGGTCTTACTTGCTGGATGAACCCATCACCCCTTCCTTTTCCCGCGTCCTCTAGCCCCCCCCCCCCCTCCTCCCTCCTCTTTTTGTCGCTGTTCGAAGTAGGAGGAACATGCCTTTGAGTCCCCTGAAACTATACCACTGTAATTCTCCTGTATCAATAATGAAATAATGATTTTTCTATCTAGAAAACGATATAGAAATGTTCATACATATTCGAATCGAGTGGCATATTTGCAAAACCCTTGATATATATTGGCCAATAAATTCATTCAGTGCTACCGCTATACAACTCATCAAATCAGTTTACAACTCCAAGAAACCGGTATATTTATTTCGCTATTATTCGCTCAGTAAAAGCAAAATGCTTTGAAGACATCAGTTTTAAGGGTTTAATTTTCGTAATTTGCTTATGGTCCTTTTGAAGAATCATGCCCACCTTTTAAATCGGTTTATTTTGTTAGCATATTTGTCTGCATCATTGACAAACCAAATACAAAACATTCAAATAAAAATAATATAATAGATTATTATTGATTCACATAAAGAGCGACAACTGAAATACACACAAAATAAATAATGCATATATATATATATATATATATATAATTGAAAACTTGAAAGTATGGAGGTAAATCAAAGAATCAAGATAAATGTAGAGGTCAACTATCATAAGCATAACTGATTGAGTCGTAGCATGGGTATAGCTTTATAGCATGGGTATAAATTTATCTTGGGCATAACTCTGACGAATTTGATTAAATGAAAACTAGGAAATACCCATGGTAGCTGTCGTTCAAATATTCACATGCTACTATGAGTCACGAGGAAAATTGGTCAAATTCGCCTCAATATCAAATCCACGAGAAGCGTTACATAAAGGGCGTATTTTTTTCCTGTTTTCTTTCTCTTTTTTTCTTAAACATTCCTTCATACATGTACCTTTCGGTGCCTTCCCCCCTGGGAATCTTTATCAATTTCAGTGCCTTGACAACTTCATGTGTAATCATGGTTCGTGGGAGTACTATGTCCCTTCTTCAAATCAAGACCGCCTGTATTTTTTTCTTTTCCTCTTACCGAGGTGATTTATTTCACATATTTCACATTTCATATATATTTACATCAATTTACCTTTTAACATAATACAAATTTAAAAAAATATTCAAATTAATAGTTATAACCTTAACATTTCTTGAAAAAATGTTTTTGTGTTTCGTCAATGCAATTTTTTTTTTTATTTGCTAGGTAATATCGTAGTTTTAATTTGAAATTAATGAACAGATTTTCAGTAATGTACTCTTTTCCATCACACCGAAGTTTAATATACATTATGTATATTATGTTTTGTCCTAAAATTAACATGAAGTTTATCACAAGTTTTCCTTTTTTTTCAATAAAATAACCTTAAACTAATGCTTTTTAATTAACATTTATTTGTTCACGAAAGTAATTACAATATAAGTTTTCAATATTTTTCCAAAAAACTCTAACCTTGTTACATTTTAACAAGACATAAAAAGTAGTTTCTGTTTCTTTACATATATCACACTAGCCATTTTCCGTTATACGCCATCTGCATAAATAATATATAGGCCTATATATATATATATACGTTTATCCTTCACTTATACTGGTGTTTACGCTCTGGATGTGTTACCAACGGCTATTACAGCAGGAACCTAGACTGAAGGTTTATCTTGACATTCTTAAGAAGTCAAACGCATCGATTAAAGCGTTTAAATAAAAAGTGTGTGTACGTGGAAACAAAGTAAGTGGAAAGTCATTAAAAAGAAAACGGATCATTGGTGATGATACGGTATATTTCCCGAATCCATATTTTTTGGTTTCATTATTTCTAAATGCTTACTGATATCTGAGAAGTGAGACATACCTCCCTGTTGATATGTTGGTCAACCTCACTGTAAACGCTTAACAAAATGGCCTTTGAACAGTAAGCTAAACGTCTTGCAATAATAATTAAGCCAATTGCCCCCCCCCCCCCCCCCACTATTAAACCAAGTGTGCCAACTTGGATGCAAGCGTACAAGTGAAGCATATACATGTACATGATGCGAGGATTTTTTTGGGTAAAGATACAAGATACCAGTTTGATTACGAATGATCAGAAACGTAAATAAATTTGCTTTTTTAAATGTGTTGTGTTCCGTTTTGAGGTCACGTGTATTAAATCTCGGTCTATCGAATTCATTTTTAAATTAGAGAGGGCATCGCCCTGGCTTTGCAGAAGAAAAGTGTTATAATAATAATATCCCAATTTATGTAGCGCAGGTACTATATGACTGCGCTTGAAACAAAGTATTACACTAGCTCAGACGCCATGATAAGGCACTGCAGCGTTCGAGTGATTTCCTACTACCGGACACCCATTTACTTCACCTGGGTGGATTAATGTCTTGCCAAAGAACAATAAGGCCGCAGCGGGACTCGAACCGCTAACCATGTTATCCAGTGTCCGGTGATGTATCCACAACTTAAGAGCATTATGATATCAGAATATCGTTATCATGGTAATAGCAATATTTCCTTGGTTCCGGTTCTTTGTCTTGTTTTCTTTAATATCCGTCATATAACATTATTTCAAAAATGAAAACAACAAAACAGAGGGAGGGGCGATTTACTTTACCATTCTGTTATGACGGGTTCCACTTTATACATCTGTTGCCATACCCCCCCCCCCCCCCCCTCGATCATCTGTATCATTGCTGAATACGCCAAAGCTACGATAAGACCTTTGCTGGTAAACACGTTTGTTACCTTATTTTCTCTCATTTTTTTATTATCAAAAGGTTGGATATATATTTAAAATGTATTACTTAAATAGACTATTTGTTTAGGGTAGTCGATATACAGAGGGCGGGGGGGGGGGGGGGCAGTGGGAATTTGTGAATAAACCCCCATTCAGATTATTCAGATTTTGCAGACAATAATATCAACAACCATTATATATGGGTATTTTTGTTTTCAATAATTTAATTTACAATGCGACAAGCTGCTTTGCTCTTGTCATACCTATCGGAAAATGTTGTGGGTTTGTTTTATTCAATTTAATGTGTTTGTGCTTTACTAGAAAAACATATCTGCCTCGTCAGTGAATTGAGTTTGACACCCTCCCATTCAAATGGGTCCAGCGTCGCCCTGATTTCATTACAGTTCCGAAAAGGAAACTTATTTTTCATCGACGTCCCTAGGATTTTGAGCCTCATTCACTCTCTTATGACACGGCCTTCATCCTTTTAATCTCCACTCTGACATTTTGTTTATATCTCTAACTTTGAGAAGGGTGCGGCAGCCGTTACTAGAAGGATTATCCCGGTCTTCCTGTTAGGTCTTGTGAGAATTATCGTCTGCAGAAAACGAGTTGATTAACTGACCCGCAACTTTGCGATCAACTTACGATCGAAATAATGTTTAACTCTACATGTAATGGTATTTCCTAATTTAGGCATGACAGAGATACATCAAAGAAATTATTTGATTTTTGCACTTCTGTAGATATTTATCTCGCAATATCTCTAGTGACATACTAGCCTATTTGACGTACTGTGATCTCACCTATGTTACTTTTTTCTATCATAATATATTGTATAATAGATTTATCTTTAATTTGATTTATGACATGCAATACGCTTGAAATACAAGTTATATATAAACAAATACTTTAATGTTGATAATTCTTCGTCACGACAATATACAAATAATAATCAAAACAATTGAAATATAAATCCTTGAGAGTTCTCTTCTTAATAAATAAGAAGAAGAATTGTCTGGAATTTAAATTTTAATTGTTTTAATTATTTTTTATATATACATATACACATTATAGCGTCATTAGAAGGACATGTGTAGAGAAAATGAGTCATTATTATAGTAGACATGGTCATAAGCAGGACATGTTCATGTCCTGTTAACGATTGAACAAAAGAAGTAGTGCCTTCTACGTGCGTTTGCAGGCAGAGGAAACGTAAAGGCCTCCCAAGAAATAAAAGGTTTAATCATCAGTCATTCATTAGGAATATTGTTTTGAATATAGGGTTAGGGCTAGGGTTAGTGTAATATACCAGTTTTTATGATGTCCGGATAATGTACCATTTGGGGTAATATATAGATGTCCTGTTAGTACAATATGTAGGGTTATTCTCGATAGATAAAGTTGAATATCTTCTTAAAAGCATCGTTTAACGATGTTAAATCTGAGATGCATAGCCCTACGTGTTATCAGTGTCTGTGATATGGTGTAATATTGAAGCCCTAACAACTTTTTTTTTCGTTTTACCTACATGTAACTGCTAAGAAAGCATGTGTATGCTTTTAACTAAGCAACCAAAGGACCGACAGCTTTCAGTTCTTTTCGAGGGACTTGCTATGATGATTAATGCATTAACAAAGGGCACTAGCGCATCGACTTGGTTTCGACCCTGGAACATCCCGGTTACAAGACCACTGCTCTACCACCTTTAGCATTAATCAAACACATACATTTTGCCGAGTGGACATAACCTAGAATAACAATTATAGGTTTATCTATTTATATTTGGTGTGGTTAAAGTTAAACTTTTTGTTAATGGATGTATTATAACAAAATTTTAACTTGTATCGCTTAATGATCCGGCGTTTTAATCTAAAAAGTACTTAGAACTCGGAACAGTACACTTTTGCTTTACAAGGGAAATGATTTGAATGTTATCTTCTCTTTCAAAATTGAGCAATGCTAGACTAATCAGAGAGTCATATAGCTTCGGCGGATAAAGTACAATAATATGAGGGCCCCTACATTAAAACTTTATAGATAGGGAGAGCATGGAGGGGAAGAAGAGGGGCTGATCGTTCTTTGTGTCGTGTCATCGTTGCATTTGAGAGAAGGGGCGGAGGGGAGAATGACAGGTTAAAAGAGGTATGAAGAGAGAGAGAGAGAGAGAGAGAGAGAGAGAGGGGGGGGGGGGGGGGGTGGTGAGAGAGAGAGGGGATGGTGAGAGGGGTAAAGTGAGGGGGGGTAGGCGAGTGGGAGATTAGAAATGCCCACACCCTTGGAGCCTTTAAAGCTCAACATGGTCGAAATATGCGCTAGAGCCCATCAAGTATACTCTGCTCAATCGAATACGTATGCTTGTTGCATCCCAGCTGAGGAGTTTATGCAGTAGCCTACCAGAACCAGAACCAGATTAAATTATTTGCATTCTTTGTTTAATTAGCCAATATCATAATACATTCTTATTACTACAATCAACCAATTTTAAATGGCAACTATTACCACCATAAATGTATCAATTTAATAAAGTATAATATGATTTAATCAATGCCCATTAACTAGCATTAAGTGTATCATAACCATCACAAATTCATGAATCATAAATGAATCCAACGTCACAATTGTCCCTGACAAACTATAAATGCCATGCTGTTAATTCGTTGAGACGCTAGGCCCTTGAAGTTATATTATGGGATGAGAGAGAGCGACTAGACCTGGGTTGGATCAACGACAGAGGAAGGAGGTAACTTTACATCAGACGCATGGTTGAATTAGTCATCAACGACATGTAGCTTGTTGTGGATACTGTCCTGCCCAAAAGCAGGGCAGGGTAAGGGTTATAATAGATCATCTTTCAAACCATCATGGAGAAGAAGGCTTGAATAGCTGAATATGATTATAGATACATGAATAGGCCTGTATAGCATATCAATCCTGGCTACAATGTAGTAGGTTATGAAAGTCAGTATGAACAAAGGTAGCCATAGTCTCGAAACGATAATGATCTCTACTACCTATTTGCTATGGAAAAAACAAGACAATACGAAATGTTGTACCATGATGTCTTGAAAAAAGGGGAACGAAGATGTACGTTCTTATTACATTTATTATTTTATATTACTGTTCAAATTTCCCCATTGGACATCCAATTTTGTATCATTGTTTTGTTTTACACAACCTTTCTAATTCCCCAGTTGTACCGGCGATACCGACATCGGACCGAACCAAAACATAAACTCACATTATCACGAGTTGCTAAGAGTAGGTTTTGACTCCTTCGGTTAGGCTGTATGAGTGGAGTACGACACTTGTTTTAGCGACAATTGCGCTGCGTCAGTTTCCTACATTTTAAACCAAATTCTTAATAAACCTATTCCCTGGACCCAACGCCATAATTAACCCTAACCTTAACCCTAACGTTAATCTAAAAACCTACTGCAACCCTAGCCCTAGCCCTATACCTTTGACAAAATAAAGGCCATGGCAATTATTGCTGAGCTATGTCGGGTCCCCCTCTTGGTAGTTAAAAGAGTGTTTACCTACCTCCAGAATAGGAAGAGTGCGATATTGATGATGACGAGAGAGAAGACAGCTAATGTGATGCAGATATCTTCCAAGGCTTTGTGACGACGGTCTGGAGCCAGGGTGGTAGGAGAAGGGGGAGGAAAAGGAACGTCTGCAATAAGCAAAAAGAAGGTGAAGTTTATTTAAAAATAAAGGTAATTCTAAAATGAGGATAGACGACATGATTTGTCGTGTCTCGCTACTGTTGTTGTTGTTGTCGTATTTTGTTTGTTTGATTTTTGTGGGGGGGGGGGGCTTTGTATGACACCAGGCAATAAAGGATTTGATTTCTTTTCTTACTATTCTTCTTCTTCTTCTTCTTCTTCTTCTTCTTATTTTCGTCTTCTTCTTCTTCTTCTTTTTCTTCTTCCCCTTCTTCTTTTCGTTTCTTTCTTCTTATTATTTTTCTTCTTTTCGTTTCTTTCTTCTTATTACTTTTCTTCTTTTTATTCTTCTTCTTTTTCTTCTTCTCCTTCTTTTTATTCTTCTTATCATTATTATTAATATCATTTTTTTGTTTTTATTACATAAATATTCCACCATCTATATCGTATTGGTATGTTTTTTCCAGTTTGAATGTGTTAATGTCCATATCATGTTATCGATGATTCCATCACATGCGTAGATCCCATGCCAACAATGATTCAAGGTAAAACAAAACGGGCTTCAAACCATAGACCACAAAGGATATGTTTTTATTATTTTTGGTTTCTATATTCTATTTTCTTTTTCTCCCTAAATCGTGAATTCATTATCTCCATCGATGTACAGCAAATATCAAATTTCCAAAGAAAGTTTATCTCGTGTTTAGATATTACAACGAACCGTTTTATACTATATTACCCAATATAGGCAAATGAACTTCAGTTGAACTACTAAAGTTGACAAGTTTCCGTTAAAAACAACGAAGGTTTCGAAGAAAGAAAACAAAAACACGATTGAAATGATAGTTCTTAAAAAGCAAAGCTCATAAAAAGTATTCATTGTTCATCACAACTGCTTGTCTAACCTGCTTCTATTGTTAAAGAACATTCCATTTCTCAAAAAAAAAAGTTAATTAAAAAAGCAACTGATTTCTGCATTTATGATATCATTTGCCAGGTTGTTCTATGTGAGACCATTCATGGAGCACAGCAAGATCAAACCTGACTCATAACAAACGAGTCAAACCGATTAACACCAAAGAGAGTGCAAATCTAATTAACAGATTCTAACCTTTATATCATGTTTCGTTTTAGATTGATTGTTTTAGACGCCATGTTGCTCATTTAATCTGTAATCAGCAGGATAAGAATTGTGATAGAATGTTTACAGGAAGTCAACGATTAGATAAATCAAAATCACTCTTTCCTCGTCCCACGTCCATTGTATCTCCATATCATAGGCCTTCTATCTGATTCACACAAATATACAGATATAATTGATTGTGTGCAGGGGGGGGGGGGGGGCTAACACACGAACAATCCGGACATGAAAAGTAAGACCAAAAGGAGATGTCTATTAAATAACAATTGATTTTTCTAATTGCTATTGCCAGGCAGATCGACAATAATCGCTGTTATTCAACAATTTATGCTGGTTAATCTCGAGCATCTATTTTATCAGATCCAATATATTTGCTATATCAAATTTCAGGATAACTATTTTATTGTCGAAGTAATGGTTGTCGTTATTAATGTTATGGACCAAACACCTTGGTCCGAATTCACAAAGGAGGTTTGTCGACAAACCTCCTTTTGTTTCGTCAAACCTCCTTTTGTTTTTTACAAACCAGGTTTGTAAAAACCGCGTCAAAACGCGTCATATGACGTACGAAAACCTGGTTTGTCGACAAACCTTCCTTTGTGAACTCGGGCCCTTATGTGTGATTTGAACTGCAAGACGAGTCCTTCATACGTGGGCTTTTTTCAATGCCGGCCAGCTATTTAATTATATTTTTCATTAATTATATCCTATACACCGAGTCAGAGTCACTGTCTTGCTTGAGAGACATATTATACAGGGTGCCCCAAAAAGAACTAAACACGGGAGATCTGTAATTGCAAATATATCATTGACACATTGTCATTGATTTTGATCATTGGGGTATAATTTTTTTTCTGTAGAAAAACACAAAAACAGAAAATGGAACACTTTTGAAATATATCCTGATTTGAGAGCGGCAAAAATGGAGCTCTTTTACTTTATAAAGGTAAGAATAATATGATATCAAATAATAAAGGCATGCATAACGAGTGGTGGCTTGCTTATACCTGATTGATACGGAGGTACACAAGGGGACCTACGGCTTGATCTTCAATCCGAAGGACTTGGTCGTAAGGATTAGTGCTTTACCAAAGGGCACTAGAACATCGGCTTTGTTTTTGAGCCTGTGACCTCCTGGTTGCGAGTCATATGCTCTACCACTGAGCCATCGCGCCCCAGTGGTAGAGCAGAAAAACAAATAGCACTCTTCGTGTACACACTTACCTGTTATATTCAGTGACATTTTTCAAATCTCTCTTCACATCTAGACTGAATTAATCCAACTTGAAAAGGGTAATATACCAGACAGGCAATGTTGAAGCAAAATGTTCGACGGTGTAACAATGCTGGAGCAATGAAAAATAAGGTGGAAATTCCCACATTGAGTAAAAGTCCAAACAAGATTTTGTATCCAGCGCAGTTAATAGGGTTTTCCTTCCTATGCGCTTCGACCCTAAGAACAGAAACAATTTAACTGCTTGTAACAATGCAGTTCAGAGTTCAATAACAATATTTGGGTTTGCAGAAAGTATTTCCCCGAACAGGAAGAAAGCTGACAATCCAACTTTAACAGATAAACAAAGGGATTTTTGTTTGTAGTCGAAATGAAAGTTTAGTCGATCCGACGTCGGAATAATAAGACGAAAGTTTGCCTCAGCTATAACATGTCTAAACATTTAAAAAGTTGACGACGACTAGTTTTCAACTATTGATGGTTTCAACTGTAGATATATCAACAAGGTGTAAATGACAGACGAAATACGGTGGTAACAAGCATAAAAGTGATGGGACGGTCCGCTCACAAACTCCAGTAGAAATGATCACATCAGTTGGAATGCATGATCCAAACGCGTTGAGTTCGGAGTGTGGGGGCGCGTCAAAATGTGATGCAGGAACGTGCCCGTTATTAATAATGTCCAGTTTTAATTAGAAATAAGCAGTCCTTTGCTTTGTTTTCCTGATGACATCGACTCCTAGTACAAAATGATGATGTCACTGTAGTATGTTATTGTTGAATGTCTTTAGTCAGAACTACGCAGAGTCATCTGACCAAAAAGGGAAAGTTGAAACACTGGGAAAGTGCCAAGAAACAAAGGCGCTGTGACGTAGTAAAGTGAGTAATGTCAAGGTAAGTGGGTGTATATGTCCAAGTGTAGGGAGAAATTTGACCGTCACTGGCATCCGCCAGGTGCTTGACCAGTGTCACCGCTGCGTAAAATGACGAAGAAAGTGTCCAGATTACAATGAGTTTTTTGTTGAGGAAGCTCTTTTGGTTGCACACGACCTGTAGACATAAAAAAGAACAAAAAATGCAAAGAATTTATGAAAAGGTTCAGGAGCCGTTCGAGCGCTTATTTCCATGTATTTGGTATAATATATGCAATGTAGGTCTCTTTGTTATTTAAATATCCTTTATTACTCTTCCCCCATATCCTGACACAGATTACATCGGCATCACTGCAAATCAATAAAAACTTCTTGAAAGTTTTCTGTACATCACTTAATTATTCTCAGCTTGATGTGGACGACTATACAACACAACCTCATTTTACTTTCCTAGGCAACGGCAACTATTTTAAAGTCGTCCTCATAGCTGTTACAAGCAAATGTCTTCCAGATCGGAGAAAATAAACCAGAAGACGTTTACTTACTGACACAGATCAACACAATTTTTCCGCTCTTTTTGTCTAGCACAGTTTAGGTCGTCTGCAGAAGAGAGAGGGTTGTACCCCAACGAAGACATGTTGGGCTTATCCTGCCAACTAGTGACTAAACTGAGAGGACCACACGAATGGGCGCGTGATGCATCCTTTTACTCAGACCGGAACTAGAGGTCAAACCATGTGACATAGTCGCAATGGTCGACCGGCCGTCGACGTCGAATCGAAATACATTTCCAATTAGCCCCTTATCCGACAGGGTAAATTGAAGAACAACGTCAAGATTGTGGGATGAGAGATGGGAGAGAGAAAGAGAGAGAGAGAGAGAGAGAGAGAGAGATGTGAGGGAGATGAGCAGGATGAGAGAGAGAAATATATATCTGAGAGATATGAGAGAGAGAAAGAGAGAGAGAGAAGAGAGAGAGAGAGAGAGAGAGAGAGAGAGAGAGAGGGGGGGGGGGAGTAGATATAGAATAGATTTATTCACCATAACCATCACGATATATTCGTTGTAAGAGATTCTACCCTCTCTGTCACTGCTGTGGTTTATCATTTTTACAAAAGGACAATTATAAGGCAGTATAGGTAATCATTTGGAGGGGAATTTAAAAATCATACAAGAAATTTATGCTGTACATACATCTGTTTCTTTCCAACTCTAAATTCTAAATTCTGTATCATCCTTTTTATCAGTTTAATTTTCTTCTTTTAAAAATCGATTTGTAAAATGAATTAACCTTTTGATTCGCCATAGCCCAACATATTTGAGCAGTTCAATCCAAGAAGCCGATCTATTAATCAAACTTCCTCTCAGATCAAACATCTCCATTTAGAAACTTGTTAACCCTTCCTTCGCCATCCAAGTGAGATTTGGAAAGCTGTCCTATTTTGAATAATTATGTTTTTTTCCAATTACCATGTTCACTCCAGATGAAATTTCAACCCCCCCCCCCCCCCACCACCAAAAAAGGAGAAAACAAGGAACGATGATATGTCTTATCTAAGAGAAGGGAAGAGGATGCAGTAGGAGGAGAAGACAGACGAGGAGGAGAAGAGGAAGAAGAAGAAGAATAGGAAGAAGAAGAAGAAGAAGAAGAGGAAGAAGAAGAAGAAGAAGAGGAAGAAGAAGAAGAAGAAGAAGAAGAAGAAGAGAAGAAGAAGAAGAAGAAGAAGAAGAAGAAAAAGAAGAAGAAAAAAGAAGAAGAGGAAGAAGAAGAAGAAGAGGAAGAAGAAGAAGAAAAAGAAAAAGAAGAAAGGTAATACTACTAATAATAAGAAAGATGCAAAGAAGAAGGAAAGGGAGGAGGAGGAGGAAAAGAACGAAAAGAAAAGAAGAAAAAGAAGAACAAAGAAGAAGAAGAAGAAAAGAAAAAAATGAATCATCTTGAATATACAACCAACAAAACAAACAGAAATAAGAAATGATGGATATCATTGTTTTGTCCCAAGTTTTGTTGAATGGGCATAATTTTGGAATCTCTGTATACTGCAGTCGAATATCCCGCCGACTCATTAGCAGTCAACGAGTTAAGCGATTTTGAAGGGTGTGCTACTTCATAGATTTACCGGTAATCTAGTTTTTTAATATCCATGAAACGAAGATAATCAGATGGTTGAGGCAAAGGCATTACGATCTTCATCAAAGTTAGTCTTTAGCTACTTGCAGGATTTCGATTAAACGAACACTAACTCAAATCTTTAAATTAAAATTAAAATCCTTTTAGGATAGGTTTATGAACGAATTTGCCGACCGTGACACCCCGACTCATCAATTGGTTCAAAGTGTATATCCTCTTTTTCTCCAGATTAGGTTCCTTGGCAACCAGAAGACGGATTGAAAAGATGTGGATTCTTCTGAGAGAATAAGATTACATTATCACGCTAGCTCAATTTATTAATCTTTCTAAAGAAAAAGGAATGTTTTTTTTCGCGTGATTCATTGGTAACTTTCTATGTTTCAACTTTAATCCTGCTTTCCTCCAGATTCTCACATTTCCATGACAACCAACAGACTGCAGATTAAACAGATGTGGAGTCCTCGCTAGGGATGGAATTGCATAATCAAGGCAGCGCAATATCTATCGGTTTTTAAGCAAAACTATGGATTTGGGGATTTCCGCTGTTTCTATCATACCTTAGTCCTTATTAAAAATCACCCAGCTGATACCAGAAAGGAATTTGCTTCTAAGTGTCAAAAGTTTACATTTTGAACTTGGTAATACTCCCTTCGAGTTCTGTTACATGTACATGTATACACCCTTACACACCAAGGCTATAGTGCCCATGGAATACCCGTTCCCGACAACAAGGCCCAGGTTCAATGCAGAAATGTTAAACTAACATCCTTTTTATTTCCCAGTTCAGTTTAAGTTCAGATATTCTTTTCGCATTCGAATTAAACAAATTATACAGCAACTAGCGCACTCAAATATTTGTTGTCTAATATACATAGATGGATTTAAAGGGCGAAACGACTACGTAACCCGCCCCCCCCCCTTCCCCCTCCAATGTTGACAGAGGGGGAGAGAGACCTATATTAATATAAAGACAGAGACTGATAAACAGAGAGAGAGAAGAAGAGAAAGAGAGGGAGAGACAAAGAGAGACAAAGAGAGAGAGAGAGAGAGAGAGAGAGAGAAGCAGAAAAACAGAGAGGCAGAAGAAGAGAAAGAGAGGGAGAACGAAAAAAACAAACCACACCAGGATTTAAAATAGCTAGTGAATCACCCTCCAACTTACGGAATATATCAAAGGGCCGATGGGATGCCCCCCCCCCCCATAAAATAATAATAATGACAATTATTGTAGTAATGATAATATTAATAAAATGCAGAAAATCTTGATTTTCTTCTTCTCATTAACCCTCCCCATCAAGATTCAAAAGATGTAACTGATCGAACGAGGTCCGCCCGCGACCTTGGTCACCTTGAACGATCGGACCCCCAATGCTGATCTAAAACGACGCGTGTCGCCCCCTCCCTACCATTCATGTTCTATTCGATTACAATTTCAAAGTTACTCTTATTTGAACCCTACACTGTATATGCTGCGAGGATGCCATCTACTTTTAAGGAAAGGAAATACAGCCAAAAATATCATCGAAAATAATTAATGATGGAACGGTCTCTCTAATGTTTTTTTTTTTTTCTTTCTGTTTTTATTGTGGTCTCTCTAATGTTTGTTAGGAAGAACACACTGAGAATATGCACACAGTGATGTTTATTTTTGGAAATTAGCTTAATTATCTATTAGTAAAGGAAGTTGCGGGGTAGAGGCAGGAAAGGGGACTACTTTATGGATAATGCAAATTAAAACCACTTAATATTGGAAGATGGGGGATGTACTTTCATATTCACTGTCCCTTTGTAATCTCTCTCTCTCTCTCTCTCTCTCTCTCTCTCTCTTCTCTCTCTCTCTCTCTCTCTCTCTCTCTCTCTCTCTCTCTCTCTCTTTTCCCTCTTGAATTTTCTTACGTTATTTGATTGGAGTGAAATATCCCCGTAGCTACACCACCGACACATGTAGTCTAGCTGTTAAGATATAATTCAGAAGGTGAAATCACTCGTCCACCCTCTCGTTCACTCTCAAGGTATCCCTTTCCGTTTCTCTTTTTTTACTCGGAAAGCTCGGACATTTCACGACTTCTTTTACATAGAGAATGCCCCGTTTACACTACCTAAATCATTACATGCACTATTCTTTATCTGTAATACCCTAGTCACATCGCTAAACCGACTTCATACCGACCCCACATCAACTCATTGTGGGCCATTGGGGGTATAAATTATTAATCGGTTGTTCTGTCTGGTGTCGGTGTCGATGGTGTGACTGAGAACTATAAAACGTTTCTTTTGCAAACAATGGTTCTTAATTTCTTTTGAAATACTTTGTCAAAACTTCCAGTCACACTTTTGTTTAGTATACTTCTACAAATTTATTTCGTTATGTTGTTTGAAGTCACGTGATGTCAAAACTCCTTGATATGTAAACGTAGCACACTGATTAAAATATTTCAGTTCGTGACGATGGTTGTGAATTAAAGTTATTACAAAAGTGAGAACTTGCAAACATGACTCTTATCGGAATGTTCGGTTAAGTCCTGTATGTAAAAGTCTGTTCTGCAAGTCTTTCAGAGTGCCTTCAGCACCTGTACGAGATGCGTGATAAACGTATGAGACAGACGTACTAATCCCCAAGTCATTCCATCATAATTACGTTATAGAGATGTGGAAATAATGGATCAACCCATAATTAGTAAAAGGCGGCCACATAATTCTCCTCATTTTTTTTTTTTTTTTTTACCGAGAAGGACTGTTTCCGTTCTGTGGGCTTACCGTAGGAATAAGAATCGTTGCAAATCACTTCCAATGGCAAATCCAAAGACCCCCCCCCCCCCCCCCCCCTCTCCTCCCCTTGTTTGATTGTTTGCGTCATTATTCTGGACACGAAGTCGTAGTTTGGAACATGAAAGTATTTAGGTCTGACCAGGGAGGTGAAAGAAAAGGAGGCGAAACTCTTGTAATTTATTCAAACGCATTCTTGAGTTCTAAAGCGTAACAATGGGATGTGTAACATTCCACTTGGCTTTGAAGTTCCATGCTCCGAACCGCGCTTCCACTGCGGGGAATTTCGGAAGCCAGGCACCAGTTTTACATTTATTACAAAATATTAAATTACCGGCAAAATTTCAGTGTAAATCAAAAACTTTATATGGGGATTTTATTAGGAATAGTGCATCAAACAAATTTTCAAATTTAGAACTCCGTCCTTCCTTTAATTTGTATGCCAGAGTTGGTAAAAGAAAAATTACATCCTGTCAAAAACTCAATATTTTAGGATGATGCGCTAATTTTTGCATGCTTTAATGTCCCGTTATTTGATCCATGATTTACAATCTTCAATAAC